CAAAAAAAAAAAAAAAAGAGAGCATATAACTACAATCCAGAGTCGGTCATTCAAGTGGTCATGAAGGAGATGCGGTACTACACAGATTTAAACAGGGACTCTTTCCTGCAGAAAGAGGGATGGTACAGATAAGGACAAGAAAATAAAAGTGAAGCAGGGAAGGAAAATCATGGAGCATTAAAAGCATTACATAATTTAACAGAGTATAGGATTTATGATGCAAAATAACTGGAAAGGTTAAGTTGGGTGGGTCCATGAGTGTCTATGGCCTGTCAAGTTCTATACACGTATGAGAATGTCAAAGGTGCACAGGTGGTCCAGTGGTTTCTGAAAAGAAGCGATGAAGCTGTTTTCTTTATAGATGGTCCTGGAAAAATCTCTTCCCGGTTCCTCAGGTTAGTATGTCTCATAGACTCTACACTCCCATCCTCTATGACAGCTTTTTGTAGGCCTATGCGATTTCATATAAGTCTCTAGCTCCTGTTACCACAGAGATTCAGTCGAAGGCCATATACATGAGACCTGGCTCCTCAGAGGGGACAGGCCAGGTACACTGAGGGCCAAATTGGGTTTCACAAGAACTTGTGAACCAGCGGCAAACATTTCATTAAGGGAGATTATTTCTAAACAGTGCAGAGATTCAAACGCAATGGTGCACATCTACAGTACAAGCTAATTGGGAGGCTTAAGCCCAGGATTTTAGGGTCAGCTTGGGAAATTTTGCAAGACCCTATCTCAAAATAAACTTTAAAAATATGCTATGAGATGCCTTTGAGGTAGAGATTATCTTGGGAAGATGTAATATAATATATCACTGTTTTATACCAACAAGTACAGCTTACATCTGCACATGATCTTGTACTACACAATAAACATCACTCCCTACGTCAAGACAGATAATTCTGCTCATATGATTAACCAGAGAGCCTCCCTTTATTCAGGGTCCGCTTAAGTTGGCAAATTCATGTATAAAAAAGAAAGAACCACATTTTATGACTCCTTTGTTATCACACTCCCTGCTGCTACCAAGGCACTTAATGGAGACATCTTACTGATGTCATCTGACACGACTCAAATAAGCTTGTCCACAGTTTAAGTGAAAAGAATAAAGCTCAAAGAATTTCAACCAAATCTGGCCATCACTACAATCACTGCTACTATTCCACAATCTTGAATCAAAGTATAAATAACTGCAAGTTTCTCACCCTCTCTTGCAACTACACGTGATTCTTGAAATTCTCAAGAGTAATCCCATACTGACTGATAACCATTCTATAAGCAGACGAACTCATTGTGGAAAAGCCTCTTTTTGCTTTGTTCTTTGTTTCTGAGGCACATTTTTACTTTGTAGCCCAGGTTGGCATGGAACTGCTTATAGAATGCAGGCCAGCCTCACACTCACTATAGGCCTCCTAGCTCAGGCTCCCACAGGTATGAGCTTGCGAAGCCTCTTTGTAAAGAGGTGAAAGGGGGCCAGGCGGTGGTGGCACACACCTTTAATCCCAGCACTCAAGAGGCAGAGGCACGCAGATCTTTGTGAGTTCAAGGCCAGCCTGGTCTACAGAGCGAGCTCCAGGAAAGGCGCAAAGCTACACAGAGAAACCCTGTCTCCCAAAAAAAAAAAAAAAAAGAGGTGAAAGGGGGCAGGGATATGGCTCAGTTGAGAGAGCCAGAGCCTGGCATGCTTGAGACCCTGAGTTCCACACTGTACATCATAGTGAAAGAAAGGAAGGGAGGAAGGAAAACCAACTTTTCTCCACGTCCCACTGTGAGTGGGACCTTGGTCACTCTGTCACAGCAGAACGGCCAGTGCTCGCTCTGGGCCTGCTCCTTCATTTCTTCCCTGTACACTGGCATGGGCTGGTCCAAAAGCCTCGGCCCAAAATGCTGGGGAAGCCCAGCTTCCTGCTAGAAAAGTCATTAGCCCGGGTCCCCAGTCACTTCCTGGAGAACAGCTCCCACTCTCTGGAGAAACACGAGCCCAGCACTAAGTCCTGTGGCACAGGAAGTTCACCGGCTTCACAGAAGTATTTCCAGGTTCTCCAGGAAATCACTAACAACTTCTACACACACATAATAAGAAGAGGTAAGTTTTTGAAGCCGGGCGGTGGTGGCGCACGCCTTTAATCCCAGCACTCGGGAGGCAGAGCCAGGCGGATCTCTGTGAGTTCGAGGCCAGCCTGGTCTACCAAGTGAGCTCCAGGAAAGGCGCAAAGCTACACAGAGAAACCCTGTCTCGAAAAACCAAAAAAAAAAAAAAAAAAAAGAGGTAAGTTTTGGTAACAACATAAATTTCTACATATATATGTGCCAAAAAAACTAGGAAAGGGGCTAAAGGCTTCACTTAAGACATTTCTTTCTCTATTTAGCATACTGAACCTAGAAGCTTAGTTTTTTCTAAATGTCTTCATCTACTAAATCTCTTTATGTCCTTTTCCCACATTCCAACCTAAACAGAACTAACCTTTGATGGATTGAATGGAATACCCAGGTATGAAGAGCCTCGGAAACCACAGCGATTTAGATTTGACCCTAGAAAACAAAGCATGTGTGAAAATACAGTTTCTGTACAGAACCCAAAGCAGTTTAACCTGAGAATTGTTCCGCAACAGTATTTTAGTACCAAAGCTCCATTTCCTTCTGCATGTACATATGGTGCACATAGGGGAGGGTGTACATGGCTGGGTGCACATGCAGACCAGGAGAGGAAACTAGGAGTCTTCCTCTACTGTTGTTCACCTTATATTTAGAGACAGGGTCTCACTGAACCAGAAGCTCACTGTTACAGCTAGGCTGGCTAGCCCCTCACCTCCGACAGCTGGGGTGACAGGCATGCACAGCCATGCCTGGCTTTCATGTAGGTGCTGGGGGTTGAACTCAGGTCCCCTTGGGTTCCCAGCAAGTCCTCTTACACATGTAGGCCCCTTGTCTCCATTTCTATGTGAGATGATGTTGAAGGCTCATCAGAACCCAGCCCCAGGTGAAGTGACATGCTGGAGGTAACAGCCCTCACAGCAGGCTCTAGAGTCCACCTTGACTCACTGCTTCCTGACATACGAGTGAGCTAAAGGTGTAAAGTGTTCCATCGCCCTAGAGAAAACGCACATTCATACTTCAGTCTGAAACCTGTGTTCTGGGTGCCTGGCTTTGAAGTTTGTACAAGACTTCAGTTCACACTTGGTCTCTACTCAAAGTATATTTATCATTTTGTTTTTCTAGCTCTAACTTTTCCTTTTTCCAGATATATATAGGATATAAGTTGAGAACTTACAAGCGCATCTACTATGGGCTTAATGGCTGTTAGAAAATTAGTAAGCTAGATGTAAAAGGCAAAAATATATTAGCACACCAGAACTGCCAGTTAATGAAAACTCAAGATGGGTTAAAAATGGGCTTTGGTGCCATGAACTCCCATCTCTATGACGGGTGGAGGGCTAAATCATAACGTCCCCCCAATTCTGCTCCTCCAAACCAGGCAATCGCCTAGTTCGGCTTTCGCTTCCCTGAAACTCTCAGTGGGAGCTTATTAGTCTTTGCAGAGATGAGAAGCTCCTAAACTGAACACTTCCCGGCGATCATCTCTCTCTTGGCAGTCCTACTGGGTGGCAGTAAATCCAGTGAGCATGCCGTGTTTTTGGTAAGACTAAAGTTGTAAGTCACTTAAGCTTTGTTAACGAGCAACCAAACCATACCCTCTAAGTGACGCTGCACCCCAGAATGTACATCGGGACCCTCATGAGCAAGGTCATATGCACCGAAGTATCCAGTGCAGTGTGACAGTGAAAGTTCAAGTGACAGACCGTCTAACAGGCCTAAGATACCACGCTGTGTCTACTAAGGGTGCATTATGCTAATTTGAAAGTAATTAGTAGTAAAACTAAAGAACAACAAGGAAATCTGTATCTGAACAAGAGAAAACAAAGGCTACAAAGCATGTGTATGATGTTTATAATTAGACAAATGGTACATTCTTAACAGCCTGGAGGGAATAAGGAAAACAGCAGCTGTGTGGGAAGGCAGGACCAGGGAGACTTCCATCCTGAGTCACTGTGGACAAGCATATTCACCATCTTACTGTGTCAGAGGATCAGAAGTCCAGCCCAAGTCTCCCAAGCTGCAATCAAAGCCTTCACAGCACTACCTTTCTTACTGGAGGCTCTAGAGGAACAGTCCGCCTCCAGCTCGGTCACATTGTCAGCATATGAGTTTCCCGTTACTGTGCGGCTAATCTAGTCTCACTGCTGGCTATCAGTTAGGAGCTCCCCTTGGCTCCTAAAGCCTCGCTTACCATCTCTTACACACGAGACTCTTACCAGAGAGCAGCTATCACTCAAATTCTTTGCAAGATTCGTGTCTCTATGGCTTCTGTTCTGCTCTTTCATGATATCTTCTGACTGACCTGCTGTTCATGTAACTGTACTGTGTATGTATAGACACACACACATACACACACACATACATGCACATATATGTATATACACAGAGAGACACACAGAGAGATGATGTGTATGTGGAAGAGACCTATAGATATGCTGTATTTTAAGATCAGGTGATAGTATAACCTTAACTATCATCCACAAAGTCCTGCAGAAGTAACCAATGTCTGACTGAAAAATAAATAAACAAGAATCTTTGGGACAGTTCAGTAGAATTCCACACACCCCTCCATCTTTATCCTTTCATCGTGACTTTGCTTTCCTTACTTCAAGGTGGGTAAACAGAGTCAAAGTGTCTCTCCCTGTATGATCTGAATTGAACGTCAGTTTCCTCTTTTACTAACCCTTGTAAAGATCTCCTTCCAAGCTACTAACTTGTTGATACTTTGCTGTACAACTCTGATCCCATCTCCACATCTGCTTGAAAGAAAGCTCTATGCACATTCTGAGGTCTATACCGTCATTAGGAAGTTCCTGAGTTCCCCGATAACTTAGGACAATCCAGTCAGGGGTTTTTACATACAGTCTGGGTTCAAAGAAAATGCTTCAGAGTAAAGTATCACCTAGAGACAAGTGAGTACATGTCTGCTTCTTAGTTTCAGTGGGTTAAATCCCTAACTGTTCTGAGAAGCAGCCGCAAGAAAGAAAACTGATGCTCAAAAACTCTCTATCGATTGGAGGCTTCGGCATGGACACAGGAAACCCAACTCAAACTCATGACCTTCTTCTAGTACTTGTGCTCTACATGCACCTAACAACCTGGTTCTCTTGTACGTCTGCCTGAGACAGAGTCTCATGTAGCTCAGGTTGGCCTTCAAACTGTTATACAGCCAAGGCCCCGAGTTGCAGATTCTGTCTCTGCTCCCCGGTGATGAGACCACAAGCATGCACCAGCATGCCCAGCTGAAGTGTCTTCCACTTCTTAACTGGACAGTAACATACTGCAAGTAGTATGCTGCAGGGGTCTTCTAAGAAATAAAGGATATGTTCAGGTTACAGCAGGGTCCACGCCTTAATCAACAGTAACTATTTAAAATTGACCAATTAGCCGGGCGGTGGTGGCGCACGCCTTTAATCCCAGCACTCGGGAGGCAGAGCCAGGCGGATCTCTGTGAGTTCGAGGCCAGCCTGGGCTACCAAGTGAGCTCCAGGAAAGGCGCAAAGCTACGCAGAGAAACCCTGTCTCGAAAAACCAAAAAAAAAAAAAAATAAAATAAAATAAATAAATAAATTTGACCAATTAAATATTATCAAAAATAAAACAAGAAATGAAGAGCCCCTAATCCCTTTGCAATTTTTTAAAGAAAAATATCATCAAAAGTGTCCTTTCTTCTTTTCCAAATAGGAGCATACACTGTCACCATGAAAATCTATTTAGTCTTTGGAGACAATCAGAACACAGGGAAGACAATGTATCATTTTTTCCCTCTTCTGAACTGCTTGTGGACTATGAAATTGGATTGAAAAAAATAGTTTCAATGTAAACAATAGCTCAAAAGAAGATCCTATTTCTCATGGCACATTTACTAACATTAAACTTAGTGCCCAAGAAAGATGATTTATTTATCAAATTGGTTTATCAGTCATATACTTAAGTACCAAGGCTGTGAAAATGATGTTCAATAAGAGAACATATTTACCATTTTTAAGTTCATTGGGCATTTTCTTCTCTTTCTTGTCAAGCTTGTTTTCTACTGGCTTTTTCTTCATAATTCTAGAAACTTACCATTTCATTATATTCAAGGATAATTGCAATTCACTCCAAGCTTAACACTGCACTATACTCTAGATGAGGTTGACGCTTTACTCAAGAGCATCATCTAGTGTTCATACTTAGCATCAGCAAAACAAAAGAAAGTTCCTTGCATACAATCTACTCATGCGGTTCCCGATTGTACACAGAACTTGATAAGATGTAGAAATATCTTATAGAACTTGATAAGATGTAGAAATATCTTGGTCCTATCTGAAGCTGACATGAAAACTATGAATATGAAGCCTAGATAGTCATATTTCAAGTTAAAACATTTTGGTTAATGGACCCTCTACTTTTGTGGCACCAACTTCAAAGTCAGGAAATCTATGTTACAATGGAAATAAATAGAAAACAGAGCAGAAGAGTCCAAGTTCATAAGAAAAACGAAAACTGAGTAGATGGGAATGCAACAAGCATAAGAATTTGTTCATGGAATATGCATATGCATACTTTATGATAAAGTACTGGGGTTGTATTATCAGAGAAAAATGTTTACAATGTTGGCTTGAAAAATAAACTGACTTTTGCCTGATGATTGGGTAATGTCTCACTTTAAAGGCTGTGGTTTGCTAGTTAAGTTCAAAATGAAGGCCAATTCTATGACACGCATTAGAAGACAGTGCATCCAGACAGTTTTAAAACAGTACTGAGGTGGTAAGAGGACTTATCTGTGGTCTTCAACCACTGTTGGCAGGGAAGGCGGCTCACTGGGTACAGGCACTTGCCAGGCAAGGCCTGTGACCTGAGTTCGAGCCCCGGAACCCTGTGGAGGTGGAAGGAGAGTCCACTGCGTGAACCTGTCCCTGACCTCCATAGGTGCTACGGCATGTGCATGTTCACTCACACACGCATATAAACAAACTTACAAAATGTGTAAGTTTGATGAGGATTTCAAAAAACATTTTAGAATTTAAAAAACAGCTCTAGTCCCAGCTCTTGGGAGGCTAAGGCAGGAGACCTGTGAGTTTGTGTTAAAGCTGGGATACACAGGACAAAACAATCAAAAAGACTGACTTCAACAAAGGGAGCTGATTTCATAAGAAGCTTTTCATTTCCCTCTTCTTAGAGACAACTGTATTACACAAGGTAAATACAATCCAAATTATATTTAGGCACATGCAGCAAAAGGCTATGCTTAGGTTACAGTAGCAGCACCCTCACCGTGAGCTCAGACTGCTAATGTAAGTCATGGTTTTGAATTCCACTTTAAAAGTTAGGTTTCTGCACTGAGCAGATAAAATTCCAGTGAGGAATGCGGTAATTTTATTTTAAAATGTGCACTTTTACAAATACAGAAATAACTTTTCACAGGTCTCAAGAAACACAAGGCTTTCTTATTAGGAGTATGCATTGCTCCCAATTCCTTGTTTTAAATATGTCAAGAAAGACCCAAAGGAACTGCAAGTTGAATAGTTAGGCTGGGAATGTAGGTCATGGGAGAACACTTGTCTAGCATGCTCCAGGCCTCGGTTCAACCCACAGCTCAGTCCCCACACCCCCAAAAAAATGAACGTGTGAAACAAACCAATCCACAGCTAGAAGGTGGTTTAATGTCTATTTTCCAAATTTCCAAAATTAGTTTTAGAACAAGACCGAGACCATTTAAAGAACTAGCAGAGATTCCTTAAGAGATTGGAGATTTAGATCTGATCTGAGCCTTCAGAGACTGGTGGTCCTACAGACAGACTGGAGTGGGTTGAATCACCATGCTTTTCAAACTGTCATTTCCTAACTACAGAGTATGTCTAACTTAGCCCACATGAAACCACACTTACTACAGTTGGAAGAATACTGTTTTTTGTTATTGTTGTTGCTATATTTCTTGTTTTTAAAGTAGCAACTGAAGTATAGTGGTAGCCTGAAAATTCCAGAAAGTTGAGGCAGAAAGACCGCAAGTTTGAGACTACCTCAGGCTAACTGGCAACTTCTAGTATCTTGTGTTACAGTGAGAGCTTGTCTCGGAGGGGGTAAAAAGACAAAGACAGCAGAAAGGGAGGAGCAATCTGAAAAAAAACATCTACTTCAAAAAAGAAAGGAGGAAAGGGAGGGAGGGAGGGAGGGAGGGAGGAAGGAAGGAAGGAAGGAAGGAAGGAAGGAAGGAAGGAAGGAAGGAAGGAAGTAGGCTGTAGCACGAACTGTTAGAAGGTCTTATTAATAAAATCAAACCTGAGGCCAGGTATTGGGGTGACTGCTGGAAGATCAGAGAAGCAGAACAAGCCACAGCTATCTCACCTCACCAGTTCCTCAGTTGATCCTGTTTCCTCAGACTGGAAGCCTCTGAGTCCTCATCAGAATGAATCTCAGCTGAACTGCTGCTCCAAAGCCTGAAACCTTAACCGGCTGAAAGCTTCTAGTTCTTGGTCTTCATGCCTTATATATCTTCCTGTTCACAGCTCCTCAGTTAGGGGGGAGAGCTTATGAGCCCCTCCTCCCTCATGCTAGAATGTCAACTGGCTTCACCTTGTGTAGGTCTTCTTCAGACAAGCAGAGCCGCTGTGAGTTTGTGAGTGAAGCAGTCCTGCTATGCCCGGGATTCCCTGGGCTCCCATTCTGTGTGTGTGTGTGTGTGTGTGTGTGTGT